ATCACGATGATTTTCTAATCTATCAGAAATATGGTATCTAAAATTTGTCTCCAAGAAAAATTTTGACATATCTGCTTAGTTTTTACACAGTTTCGTGGATTAACAAGGCGGAAGCAACACACTTCTTGCGAATGGGTGGTGTAACTATTACCGGATAGGATCGTGGATTCCGGATTTATTAACCTATCACTCGTCTTCTTCTTATGATATCGATGGCACACACAACACTACTTACCATTGCTATGAAAGGATTTGCCAAGTGGCGTAAGGTATTCGGCGATTGTTGCCCAGGGTGTACCCACAAGAAAGAAATGGTACGTCGAAGAAAAATTTTATTGTGTCAAAATTATTCCATATTTGCTTGAGTTTTTACACGACGTCTACTGTCTCCGACAACACAATGCACGTGGACGACTAAAAATTGACTTACGTCTACCATGAGATATAGTGAATACCAAAAACTGTTTACAATGGAGATGGCTTGGAGTTTCTCCGCGAGATCGAATCAGAAATGAGTAGATCCACAACAGAACCAGCGTAACCGACATATCCCAAAGAATTGCTAAACTTAAACGGCAGCTGGGACCAATAAAATCTGGAGTGGTAACCGCGCAAGACTAGCTGCTGTGGTGAATTTTTCTTGTGAAAGTTTTTTAGCCGGAGTGAATGGGTGTGCGATCGACTTCTCCATACTTTTTCCGCAATTTCTCTACTGTGACATTTACCCTATTACACGAGAATCAGCCCCTTAGGCAGATAGCGCTGACGTGAACAAATTACCCGCCAGGTGGCAGTCGACCCTTTCTTTTCGCAAACATGATTAGTGGCCTATTGGTTTTTGCTCGATCTACCTTGTAGATATTCTTACTAAGCTTACACTATATTTGTATATAGGTCACACAGTTGGGCTCTAAAAAAAAGATATTAGGCCATATAGTATAATAGCGTTGTCGAAGCGTGATTTGGGGACTTCACGTCATGTTCAAAAAGGGCTTATTGGTTTTATTTCAAGGGTGTGAGCTTTTTATCGCCGTTGTTTTATTTTGCTGGTCTAAAAAAGTCTTCGGTCGAGGCGGTTTTCTATTAAAAAAAATCAGTCATCACCATTCTGTGTTTCATAGCAATTGAGGTACTTGTGAGAGAGTTCGATCAGGGAAGTACTGCTTTTACTTATTTCTACCGCCAAGCAGTGCACTGCATTTCTGATTTATAGGGTACGGGTGCTGGTGAATGAGTTACAATTCAGTACAGTACAGTTAAACTTCACTGGTTTCCACGTATATCTTCCTTAGCCAGCAGATTGAGCTCTGCTGCATGCGCAGTCGGTAGAATACGTGAGCTTACCGATCTTGCTACTGCTAGACTAGTTTACTTTAGTTACTTCCATAGTGCACAACGGCAGATATACAAACCATATTTGTGTTGCAAAAACGAGCGATTCGTTCTGTGTACCGTTTAGGTTCTCGGGCTTCTGAGAGAAAAGTTTAAGGAGATTGGTATCATGACTGTGACTTCACAGAACATTTACTCAAATATTTTGTAAGCGTGTAAAAGTAAAAATATACATAATTTCATTAAGAAAGACGATATCCATAATATTAACCTTAGAACTAAGTCCAAACTCGTGGTACCACGATTTCGTTTAACTAAGGTTTTTTTTACATTAACATTATCATTTCCTAATTTAAAACTAAAAAAAACAGCTTGAGTCTTGATTCCACACAATTATGATTCAAAGTGTATTCCATAAGATATAAGTTTATTTGAAAAGAACAATCCCTAAAGTTTCTTGCTCGCTCTTCTCAGAGAGGTCAGCGAAGTGAACCAGCAGTAGCTTAAAAAATGACGTTTTCAAGTGTAAATATTTTACCTATGGAATAAATTATTATTTGACTTTGAATTCTACAGGCACATGGGACTTATCAACTTATGTCTCAAGGTGACGGGCGCAGTGGCATCAGATCTATGAGTGGCATCAGATCTATGAGTGGCATCAGATCTATGAATGGCATCAGATCTATGAGTGGCACTGCAATTGTTACGAGTGCAAAACAAGCACATCGCATAACACAAAACGCAATTTTTCTTGGTATTTAAAAAATGTATCGGTTAATATAATATATGGTCAATTACTGGACACTGATCTCTTCTGAAGATAAGGTTAAGGTTATTACGCTGACCCAACCTTAATAAGGTACTCCACAAATCTTCAAAGATTTTTTTTATAATACCAAGTCACGGGTACAAGTCGTACGCTGATAGTAAGCTACACGCTTTAAGTCGCAAAGAACTTATGGACGCTGTCATTGTGCCCGTCACCCTGAGACGTAAGTTGACATGTCCCTTGTGCCTGTAATTTCACCAGCACCTTTCACCATTCAAACCGGAGCGGCAGAAATAGGTGAGATGGCAGTACTGCCGTCCGCTAACTGGGTTATGGTTTTTTATGATATCTCAAAAGGGCTAGAAGATACCTGCAGCTTACCTGGACCATCAGCGTTCTCCCAATTTGGATATCACTTTTATTCGCTCACGCGATACATACAGCCGTAGACGCATACCACACCTAGAGGTGCCGATGATGATTTTATACCGATTTATCGGATATCGAAGTTATAACGAATATCGAAGGTAAAAGAACTAATTTTAATTGCTATTTCGGTAACTACTCTAGCAAACCATAAAGTTTTTAATGCCTGGGTCTGTTATTTAAAAAAAATAAACAACTTCAAAAATACGTCACGACAATCGTGTGTGTTATTGTTTGGGCTGGTTATTTCGGTGTTTATTTATTGAAATCATACCGTAAGTACCGTTTTTTAAGTTTACCCTGAATATAAATGTTTATAAACTATACTTTAAGGAGTAATTTCATGGTAAACGTTAGAACCACTCAAACGGAATATTATCATAATTATCCCAGTACACCAAAAATTTCATTAGTGCTTTTTAAGTGCAGGATTTGCGGTGTATTATTGCGTTTTATTTGAGATGTTTTTGTTGGTAGTGCGAAGAGTATTTATTTAGCAATGCAGAATAATAATTTGTATTTATAAAAACTTGTATTTAAACTGAATGCTTTTCTAATTTGCGAAACCAAATAGCCGCCATTTTGCGGTAGGAGGAGCGCATCGCGTGAGCGGATAACCTAAAAAAACCGTACGAAACCCTTCAAATAAGTTACGGGTCCCAAAAACTGAATAAAAACTGCTTATATGTAGAAAACACATTTAATACGATATTTTGTACTTAAAGTACTTTTAAATATTTACAAACAATAATAAAAACTGACTCTATACAAACTATTTTATTGAATGTCGTTACCCTTTAGGTACAATTAATATATATATCTGTAAAATAAAACATACTGGAATGTAAACATTTGCTGGTGAAATGTGGAAAACTCAATCGATTTAACCACAAAGGTCGTTTTATTCAATTACTAAATCTTTGCAAGCTCATTCAACGGTGATTGCTTGATTTGGCAACGTGGACTAAATTTCTTTAACAAGTGCTGTTATCCGTTAAACTTATTAACTACTCAAAAAACAAGTTTAAGTAACATTTGTATTTAACTTTGTGGCAGAGTTAAAAATATATACATTGACATAGCTCTTTGGTGATGACGTTATTTTATGTCAAAGAGCGTAAGTTCTCGAAAATATTTTTTTCCTTTTCTTATAAATGCATCAAATCTTTGTTATCAATGCAAACAATATTGTTCGTTACTGAAAAGTAGACTCGTAGATTGATCAAATATTGTAATATTTACGTAATACACATATTATACTTTTACACTTGTAAAACAAGTCGATATCGGATTTCTTCAAATGCAAAAATAACAATCTTGAGCCAATTCTGAAATTTTGATAGTAAACTGAATCAACGATGTCGGCTTTAGTATTAAAGCTGGTACCCACGACATAAATGTAAGTGGTAAGTAGATGTAAATTCCTTCAATCAAATCATCATCAATTGATGAACAATTAATACTGTTTATTTATTGTCATAAAAATGGGGAATATGTCTGAAGAATATGCGTAACAATAAGCAAACCAATGCATACGAGTATAAAAGATATAATAAATACATTGTTAAATTACTGGCACATACTATCTAATTAATTAAGCAATAAACTATTTTAAAGCTCTGAGTGGCACTGCAACTGCTATGCACAGTCGTGTTGCTAACCATCAGGTGCACGACTTGTTTATCCCGTCACATGATGTTATAAAAAAATCAACAGGATAAAAATGTTTTTTCAAGGGTTTTTTAAAATAAAATAGAGGCCTCATACGCAGTTCAGTGTGAATTATATTTACGTTCTTCCACTTACCACTTACATCATAACTTGTGTATATCGACCGTTATTTATAGTTAACACATTTCGCATTTAAACAGTGCTCAGTGAATACAACTTATTACATGTAAGCTTGGACTTTATAAGTCCCATTTAAATGCTAGTTAATAGAGCTTTAAAATGTTATTTAGTATGTGTAGTAATGTTCATAAAACCTACATAAATATCTTTTAGTTACACGCAAAAAAAAATATGATCAGCTCTGTACATCGAGTATATAACCTGAAATAGATACGAAATAAGGGCCATCCGTCACTGGCAATTCATCAGACAAATGGGCCTTATATCATTTTTAAATAACTCTCGTTACCGCTGAAATCACAAATTAGAAAACTGAAATAGTACAACGCCAAGAACTGGCCTGTGTGTACGTCTCCGTATGTTCCAAAAATATTCTGTATTTATTGTGATAAAGATAACATCTCTAACAATGCCGTGCTGTTCTATTCGGTGGTGTGGGAAAACAACAACAGGAAAACATCTTATTATAAAACATACAGAATCACATTTCATCGGTAATTAAATATTGAATATGTAATTTTGCAATTTTCGTCCATTATAGCAAAGCTCAAGTTAAACCTGTCGACTTGAAGTGAAACAATTGACGACACACATCAGTTGTTTCGAATTCTGGCTGGCCAATCGGAGCGCAGTTATCACCGTAGTGATATGGCAGAATAGTTTTCAAACAAATTAAAGGACATTTCGTCTCTATTTCTGGTTATATACTCGATAGCCCTATATGTAACATCAAAACGCAAAAGAACTTATAAGATTAAACGTAAACTAGAATGATCTCTGTGACACTTCATTAAAATTTGACGTGTGTCATAGGGATGTGTTAAAGTCGATAGATTTTTAATGTATTTTATTTTCTCTTTCTAAGGTATTCTGAACGACGTATAGATGTGTGAAGTGTTTTGTATTATGTTGAAAGCATAAATCACACTATAATTCAAATTCAGTGTCAATAGATATTTTAGAAAATTTTAAAACACATCTATCGTATTATTAAGATATAGGTTTGAAACTTAACTTTAAATATCAAAAGCTTTTTATCGATATGCCTTGTCTCTAGCAAATGCTGTGTAATGAACAAACCTTTGCACTTCATCGTAAAAATTAATCAATTTTTCAATAATAAACATTGTGTTATTTTTACTGTAATTTAAGGTAGGTTACCTACAGGTTAAAAGTGAGGCTTATAAAAATAGGTTATGAAATGCGTAAATTAGTGCACGTTGTTACAAGGTTATATTGTGTAGATTTTTATGAACTGTCACAGGGATCATCATAGATTATTTTTAGTATAACAGATGGACTGCTCGTCTGCAAAGACTTCAATTGATTGAAAAGATAAACGATAGTACGAGAATCAAAAGTGGCAGTTGGCATTCTTAAGAAAATATACGATATTTTTCGTGTATTTGGTAATAACAGCAAAAGATAACGATTACTCCAGGGTTTAATCAACTTGATGGTAAAACAAAAACACGATTGTTTTCACGACGGATTTATATCGTTTGCACAAATTGTTTACATTTTTGATCGCAAATTTCACCGCAGAGTACAGTCGGGGATTACGGATGTGAATTTGATGACAAACCAAAATTGAAGATTGAATGAATTGGATTCGATAGCGGTATATTTATTTTGTTTAAGTCAGCGTTTGGAATCATTAATGTTCTAAATACAGCGATAATTTACAAGTAATATCTTTCATTTTGATATCTTTAAATACACTGAGCACCTGAAAGAGGCGCACGGCGAGAACTGCTTGGAGTTTGCAATTTTGAATGCATGCAGTTCATATCGACTTTGCGCATGCAGTCCGTCTAGTAGCAACCTAAGGTGAAAGAGCATCGTTTTTTTCGAACGTTTTGTCGAACATTTTTTTGTAAAGCGTAGATATGTGTTTTAACTTTATTCAAGAATTCGTTCTAAATTTCGTCTGAGCAGATAAATTAATGGCACTATTTAGTGAAATGATTTACAACATATTGTCTCGAAGGAATTTCTCTAGCGCGTGGTAGAGATGCGGCCGCACTCCCACTAAGCTGTGGTCTTCGTCCGTGTAACTCTGAAAGCGAAGATTTCAAAAATTACAATGATTTAAATGCTATCCATTGTGTTTGCACAAAGATCTGCAACAAGCACGTAAAAAAATCCTAAGTTCCACTAGTTCGTTCCATAGCTCAGTTGGGAGAGCGTCAGGCACGGTATTCTGAAGTCAGTTGTTTCAATACAGCCGGATCGTAGGAATTTTTCTTAGTGTTCAACCTTTGTGTTAATTATTACAACAAACTAATAGGGTAATTTCACAAAAAGTTATTGAATATCATGGTTGCAACGTCCTGATATCCAATTAACTTCATAACAATTACATTCGTACTTTATCACAAAGTTCTGGAATTGTCTTTGAACATATTTCCTGAATTTCCAGCGAAGACAACCACACCAATTACATAGGAAAATTCCCTGGACCATGAGTACCAGGATTAATTGAATTCACTCCAATTCCGATTTGACCAAAACCAATTTCCCGTATTCTTTCTAACGGGAATTGATGTCAGAACCTTCTCGTCCAGCGTCACAGCTAAAGTTCGTACGTTAATAATATAACTCCAGCATAAGTTCAAATTCATTCATCTGTCCAATAAAGTGTGGTCACATCAATTTAGTGCAATCACTTTTTTAGCATAGACTGTTTGTCTTCCTCGGATGTTATGACCATGATTTTTGCAAACATGAGACGGCCCACCCAATTGAAAATGACTGCCGCCTATGGATATAGATCGTAACCGGGACAGAAGTAAGACAGAACTAAGAAATAGTAACCAATCTCGCGAAAGCCGCTTCCTCATTACCAAATCTAAAGCCGCACTTCCTGCCACTCTGAGGTACTGGCAATGAGTCTATACTTTTATATTAAGTTCAGCTACACCACATAGCGGTGGTAGACGTGGAAGAACGGTTGCTTCCAAATTGCGAAGTCGTCGGTTTACATCCCGGTGAGCTTAAATAATAAACAATAGTGCACACACTCATAGCCGCGCACTAGAGTGACCATATATCGCGGTTGCTAAGGACACACAAAGACAACCACAAATTAGACCCAAACGCACGAGAAAAGTAAATGTAGGCCATACAAATTTTTCTCCCGGCCTGAGAATCGAACCCGCGACCTCTGTCTGCATGGCAGCCCAGTATGGTAACCGTTCGGCAACACACAGAGACAGTGCTATCGCTTTACAATACCATTCAACATTCTGGACTCAGCGATTCACTGTCATTTGTGGAAACAGAAATTTAAAAAATTAGCGATATTTATAAAATTACCATCTGTGTGAAGTACACGTCTCGTCTTTGGAGCAATCGAGAAAAGAGCATAGCATGCTGATAATGCACGTTGTCATCTGCCGTACCGTGAACTAGGAAGTACCGCTTGTTGCGGTATGCGTCCACCTGCAAACATATGACGTATATTTAACAAGCTACACAAGTGAACCTGTAGTCAAAGTGACGGAACGAACAAGTCGTGCGCCTGGTGGTAAGCGACACGCCTGTCCATAGCACTTGCCGTGCCACTGAGAGAGAGCTTTAAATTGTAAAGATCTGAAGGTCCCATTACCCTAAGACAAAAGTTCACTAGTCTCATGGCCTGTAATTTCACCAGAACCCTTCAAACCTGGAACGCTGTAATGTGAGCGTTACTGCTTGGCGATAAAAATAGGTAAGATTGCAGTTCAAAAAAAATTCAAAAAATTCAAAATTTTTATTTCGGACATAGTCCATATCATGTTAGTAACAAACAGCTTATAGCCTATGTTAGTAAGACAAATTATTAAAACTGTATCAAAATTCCAAATTGAGAAAATAATTAAAAAGAATATATGAGTGAAAATTAAATATTAAATTAAATCTAAAATTGAATATTAAAATTACATAAAATTTACATGTTATCACATTAAATCATACACCAAGCCCCTGGAACCCATGTGAAGCGAGTCCCAGTGTTTCCATAAAGCGCAAGCAGGGTCCTCCCAAATTAGGCGAATAAGGCTGTTGGAACTAACACGCACGCGACGCATCAGGGAGGCAGTTCTCTTACGAACTATTACACCGTAACTGTCTGTATGTGCCTCTGCGAACATACCTGAGGCGCTACAAAAGCGCGGTAGCCCCAACAACCTCCTAAAGCCGTTATTATATTGGACTCGCAAGACGTTGACCGCCTTCTTAGTGTAGTTTGTCCACAGGTTGCACGTGTAAAAGGTCTGACAAAACGCCTTAAAAAGGGTGGCTTTGACATCCCCATCACAGCGCGCAAACCTGCGGGACAACATATTACAACGTACGGCCAACGCCCTGCGCTCCCTCTCTATATCAACATCGTCCTGGAGTCTATCTGTGACCCAGTGCCCAAGGTACTTAAAACGTGTGACTCTTCTCAGAGGAATACCACTCAGGTGTACTGTGGGAATTGACGTAAGAGCCTTGTTTCCAGCCTTAAACACTAAGAGCTCACTTTTATTAGTGTTGTACCTTAGACCATGAGCCACCGCATACTCCTCACAAACTTTCAACAGCCTTACAAGCGCACTGATCGACGGGCACAGCAGCACCATATCGTCCGCATAACTGATATTATTCACAGTCCGACCACCTATTGAGCATCCGACACCCGTGCTGCTGAGCCTGGCGATCAGCTCGTCCATATACAAATTAAATAACCTAGGCGAGCTGAGCCCCCCCTGTCTCACCCCACACTCCAACCTGTACTTGTCTGAGAGCACACCTCCCCATCTCACTTGGTTGGTCTGATTTCCGTACCAGTACCGGAACAGGTTGATCACCTCCATCGGGGTAAAGTAAGTACTTCTCCGAAATAAGTTAGGAATAATAACTGGACTAAAACTATGTAACATTGTTATGAGATTCAAATTTTTTATTTAGCACACTCTCATAGCCCCGCACTAGGAAAACCCTGCATCACGAGTGCAATGGACATACACATAGACAACCACAAATTAGATAAATAGATAGAGAAAACTTTTGTTTGGATCTACAGACACACACATAACAGAAAAATATGTATAAAATAACAAAACCGACCGGGAATCGAACCCGGGACCTCTGGTGCATCGTAACCATTCGACCACGGTTTAATGATTTAATAATGGCGCCCAACCAGGGATCTGACTTCATTAAAATAAATTAAGTCATCGCTTACTGTAGATAAAACATTAACTAAACTTACCACTTCTTGAGTCAAAAGTGAGGAGTTAGTGTAGGCTTCTGTATTAACTTGAGGGAGGTCCATGTAACGTTCAGTGTAGATGGTGTCTGGAAAAATACATAAATTATTAACATTACCTGAAGAAAAGTTTACGGAATTTACAGCAGCTTGGCGCGATAATGTACATTAACACAATTGTAAACCGTAAGACTACTTATAACAACATATTTCGCAATACAAGAAAATTAAATTGACAACCAGTAAGGAAATATTCTCCACAAAAATTAAAAAGTAATAATTTACGCTAACAAATAAGCACTGTTAACTAATATAGGTACAAACGACTACATAATTGAAGATGAAACAATTACTTTCCTTCTGCGGTTGAGCACATCAACTAGTATGTCAATAACTAGGTCAGACTTATTAGGCTAACCTTACTAGATCGAGAATATCCTGCAAGCCTCGTTAGTCCCGAGCCTATAAAAGTTAAACCATATTAATGCAATAAACGAACCATAGAATCGCCAATCGACAACTGGAGCAACGGCTATCGCGCATCTGAACACATCTCCGCCTCTGGCTAGTGCCAATGATGACGCGTATCCTCCATATGACCAGCCCCAGATGCAAGTACGGTTAGCGTCCACCCACGGTAATTGCTGAAGATATCTAAAGGAGTAATGTACGGAGTTATAATAACCGTAATCCTATTAAAGAATTTGAGGGAATGGTTCGGCAGCAGTATCGCCTCGCTGTTTACAACGGCAGCCTCTACAGTCACAATTCCCATGATGTTTTCCAACTTCCGATAGAACAGAAACCCCAAGAATTAGAAAAAGAAGAAAATTATAGTTAACACGAAAGAACTATAACTATATATACTCATATTTCTTATTGTAACATTAACAAACAACGTTTCGGGCTTTGATAACTGTGACACACAACGACGTCTTGCATGAAGTGTTTTTTTTTAACGTAGATAATTGCATATGACATGAACAGGTAAGGAAATTTTAACGAATCATACCGACAATTAGTCAAATTGACTAACGACTTACTTAGTAACCTGAATCTGATCTTCGACTTCGACAGATCCGAGTTGGCGATTCAGAGCGAAGGTGTTGGAGACGCCGCGAAGACCAGACCCTCGGCCGTCGATGATAGCCACCGCGATATTCCATCTGCTCACCAGCGAAGTTCCCCAGTCGATACCCCACTGCTTCGTTACTAATGCCGAGTCTGGGCCCCCGTAACTGTAACCGACAAAAAGAAATATTGTAGATAAGATAGATAACCAATAACTAAGATAGATAAGACAAGATAATCAATAACCAACGATACTTTCTTAGAAGTATCATAGAAGGAAAGATCGAAGGAAAGAGAGGTAGAGGAAGATTGAGACGGAAGTTAGATAAAAGATCAGATCAGATAAAGGAAAAAGTTAATGTCGTGTCGTATCACGAAATCACAGTTAGGATACAGAACAGAGATGATTATTGTAAGCAATGACGCTATAATTAAAATATTTGCTGTAATTAACATGTTTGCTATAAACCTGGCCGATGTTTCGGCGGTGCAGCAACTTTATGTGACTAACAAAACAACATCAAATACCTGTCAGGTTCCAAGACTTGGCTGTGACGATCGAAAGTAATAGTAGTAACAACGTGTACCAGTAATTTACTGACTGTTTGAATAAACTAGTCTGTCGTCAAGATCGGACATTCCATTGTCATCTCAATAGCACCCTCTGAAGATTCCAAAAGATCCACTTTGTCAAGACGAAGGCCAACACCATCAGCGCCATTCCTAACAACGTTACCTAAATACCAAAAAAACTAACTACCTTGCTACTTACTTTCTTTCATGTGCTGCTTAGCTGGACTCTGGCCACTGGCTAAGGCTAGTTAGTCTTTCCTTCCACAATCCCGTGCATGTCATGTGTAATACCCGACTTGTCGGGGTCAAATTTACTCCGGCCGAGTGTGGTGCCAATGATGAATGAGAATAATTTACGAAATAGGCTAATCATTTCATTCCTTTCTCGCAAAAAAGTAGCAGTAAGGATACTGCTTCATCTTCAATCTGGGCTATGAGAAAAATCACTTACACGTAAACCAGTAGCGGTACATTGGTCCTTGAAGCATAGTCTGGTGGGACTTGAATGTGTACATCGGCTTCTGGCAAACCGTCGGCCACTGGCACTTGCATCCTGATGATAGATGGAATCGTCCGCGACTCCACCATAGCTGCTGTCTCTGCATTATCGTCCCAGGACCTCACTAGAGTACCGTTCTGGAATTTGCGAAATCATGTACAAATTAGAAACCTTTTTCAATAATAGTGATGTTTTCAATATTTTCTATGATAATTATAAGCTATTTTGAAAGAATTAACTTTAGTCGTAGTCATATCATTAGTTTTGTTGTGTTTTATATTCTCCTATATTTACGAAGAAGTGTTTTTTAAATATAAATATAGCCGCTAAACTTTACCGTAGTACCTACAAGACAAGTGTGGTATCTATATATACAAAGGTAGTAGCGCAACATGTATGTGACACACACATTCGCACACTAATAAAAGGCGCGTGAGATGACCTCAGAGCTATACAACGCGAATGAATTGCGAGATTATGCGAATGTGTGAGTCCGTACATGGCACGTAGCGGGCACGCACACAAACAAATCACGTTGCTATATTTGTATGGAGTTACGATACTTGTGTTATTACACTATGCTCTTTCACAAAATTGAAAACTTACCGAATTATAGATTAAAACTTGCGGTACGCCAGGACCTGCGCAGTTGATCGTCACTCGAGATGCATCAGGGCTGAGAGCAGCCTCGTTGTAAAGGCATGGGTCTCCGTCTTCCTTCTGGATGGTGCACGTGAAGCAGTTCACAATGTTGTCAGAGTTCACGGTATAAATGTGCTGCTCTGCTGAATCGTTCACGTGAGTTGCTTTGTACCACCTGAATTTTTTATTATTGTAAATGTGATAAAGACATACATATTCGATAGTTAATTAAAGTAACTTATTGGTTTTAAAAGATTTATATAAATTGCCAGCAGTGAAACGCTGAAAAACTTGACAATATCATTACCACAGCAATAAACTTATCATGACAATCATTGCAACAACTTTAAATAATTTATTCAATCATGTTTGTTGTCATTGATTAAATCAAGAAGTATGATTGCCTCTTACGCTGCACTTGATAAAAACCAGATTTTACCATTGGTTCCCAACAATCTCGACTATACAATGTGTTGATTTGCATTATCGCCATATTTAAGAAATTAATAATATAAATAATACTAAATCATTTAAAATATATTCTGTTCAATATTTTGACTAATTATTGTATCTAGTAAAGTTTTGCAAAACTGTCTTTAAATCGTATGCAACGCCCGCGGGCAGTGAGAGTGACCCGAGCGCTCCGCTATTCGGCTTTCACCGAACGATACGTAATCTTTTTCGATCGCTTCATTACCTATATTTCGACCCCTCCTACGTAAAGTATCGTATATCGAAATTGCCAAGTTTACAGGTTTTAAAGTTTTGTATTCACTGAAATAAGCACAACACGTGACTTTAGCATTTCTCAGTTTTATTCGGCAAAGCTTGTTACTCACATAGAGTATTATAAAATCCTAGACATCGGTTACATAAACAACCACAATTTATTTTATAATTTTATACTGTCACCCGACCTGCCGCCCAGTCTCACTTTAGTTTACCCGCTTGTTGCCGCACATCCGGGTTAGTGTAAATTACTTTGTAATTTAGATTTAGTACTTACCAATTAGGTTACCTATTTATTTATTTTATTTTTATTTAATTATTTATTGTACAGATAAAGCAAAAACACAATTAGTGACTAACAGAAATTTCTAACAGAAATTTCTTCCTGCAGACCTAACTACAGGAGACAATAATTACTATATAATTATGAATAAAAAAACAATATCAAAAACATAAAATTATTAAAACTATATAAATTATTAGATAAATACATATTTCGTACTATGTAATACCTATAAAATGGATGGATTACCTACATGAAAGAACTGCTAGAAGTGTCCACCACCACTGGCTATGCAAAAATTCGCGTTGTCAAGAATTTCGTTTCAATTTTCTGAGTACTAACACATTTGATTTCACAAGTTTGAAAGCTGAGACCGTTTTCGTAATCTTTTCCATGTAAACTAAACGTTTCACATCACCCCATAAGTAATAGTCACGCACTTGCCGTCCTGAGAAGGAGCACTACCTTGATGGTAATTGAGGTCAGGTGAACAGCAGAAATCTCTTGTGTACATAACAAACCACTATATATAGATAGATAGACTAGAATTGCGGCAGGCTACCCCAGTGCATAAGCGAGCGCACTGATTGACGAGGCGCGGGCGTTTGCATTTGAGAAAGAGATAACAACACTGGAGAGGAGCCCTTTGTCGGTCCGCTGTTTGGTAGCACGTGCCGTGCAATAGTATCGAACCGATGTTTACCGCAATTAAACAAAAAAATTGAATTTAGGAATTTTTTTTGCGATTTATTTTTTTAGTGATTTGGTTTTAATTTCGTCAGGGTTTGGAATAACCTCTACAAATATATTTTGTTTTTATGTAAAGAAGGAGGTAAACGAGCAGATGAACCACTTGATAGGAGGTGGTCATCGTCGCCCATGGACATTTGCAACATCAGATGAGCCCTTGAAAGTCCTGTAAATACGCTTTTCGAAGGACCCCATGTCATAGCGCAAAGGAAACGCTTCTGGAGGAAGATGTGGGAATGGACTCTACTCTTTTGGCGGGAGGTGCGATGGTAGAAACGAGACGGTGGCACCAGTTCGAAAAGTTCCTCAGAGCACTCCCCATTATAAAGACGGTAGAACACTCACAGAGAGTCATCTTCTCTCCGTAGGCTAAGGGGCTCCATGTCATCTCTGAATTTGGCGAGAATACAAATCAATACATTGCATTAGTAGTGATTGGTGAAAATCAACAAGGCGTTGACGCCAACCCATGTGGGTTCTGCAACGGTAGTAAATCACCAGAATTGTAACTTTTAAGCATTAGAAGATAAACGTAAAGCTACTACAATTCGAAACACTTACACAGTGTCATCTGGAGTCCATTTTATAATATCCAGTACTGTATGACCAGGATTAGAGCGACTCGCAGCGGTCCATGTAGTTTCGGCGCCTGTCGGCTGTGAGACTTGCACTAATTGCTTGTAAGGTACCTGCGGGTAATAAGAGACGCCGTCTATCAAAAACCACTTCATTTTAAAAAATCACTATTATAAAATCGCCCTTTCAATATTGTTGCGCACAATAATTTAACTGCCTCTGTGGCCGAAAGGTTATTATGCTGGACGGCCACGCAGAGCTCCCGGACTCGATTCCCGGGCCGAGAGAAATATGTGAATGGCCTGCGCCTGCGATGCAGAGTTTCCCTAGTGCAGGGCCATGAGTGTGTGCGTTAAATATATGTCGGCGCCAGCTATCACTTCATACGTAATTTATTAGATAAACGATTCGTTTTAACTAGTTTCGATTATGTTTGATTACAAATGTCACGCCAGTTTAACAGCTCAAACTGGGTGTGGTCGGAGAGAGGGGGGTTTTTGTGTAAGCTGTTTGGACAGTAAAGACGTACCGCCCCGCTCTTTCTGAACTTGCCGCTGTGATATTTAGAATCCGTTTCAACCTCATCCATCTCTCATACTTTCGAAATTATTGTGAAAAGTGCATAAAACAAGTAACTGCAATCTGTGGACGTTACCATTTCACCATCGGCGTAACGAGTTAATAACGACGAGGGAATAAGCCCTTTATGAAGTAATTCCTGACTATATATGCGTTGAGAGTGTTTCCTTCGACGTCTCCCTATCCGGCCTTAACATATATCGCACTGCCATTACAACAGTGTTTAACTCAAAAAATTCAAGATTATACCATTGCTGAACGAATAAAATAAAATTTGATTATATATACATACGTCAACCGTGACCATGGGACCTGTAAAGGGCCCGAAACGTCGGTTTGTTTGAAAAAACAAATATACGCGATTTAAATCCGGAAAAATAGTTTCATTTCCTATATATATACGTCAATAAAACCCTCGTTATAATATTGTAAAAACAACTATATCTACTACTACTCAAAATGAGACACGCTTTTTGTGAGCTAGTTCTGGCCAAAATTGTCCTCATTCAAAAATATGAAACTATTTTTGAGTTTACCTCTGAGGAGGTTCTCAATTCGACTGTTTTTTTTTTGTATGTATGTATTTGTGAACCGTTTGTATGTATATATGTATTTGTGAACCGATTTTCATGATTATGAGCAATTATTTTAATGGTTGATTTTGCTATTCTTCAATTCAATTCGTTTTTCTCTCTCAATATACTTTGAGTAATATAATATCATTGCTTTGAGTAGTGAGAAGCGATTTTTATTATCTCCTGTATCAAGTTCCGTGTAGTGGCGAACTAGGAGATGAATCCGGGTTTGCGCACTTTCCGGTAACCGATTTCAATAAAACTTGGCAAATAGTACATCTATTCCACGTACTTTTGAGTATTTTTTCAAAATATGGAGGTACCCTCTTTCGAACAAAAAAAGAATCATGAAAATCGGTTCACAAATATCGGATTTATAGCGTAACAAAAAAAAAACATGCAGTCGAATTGAAAACTTCCTTCTTTTTTTGAAGTCGGTTAAAAATATTTGTTACCTTTGTTTAATTACGCCCATTTTTTCCCCTTTTTTAATACTTGTTGGAAGGGTGATTAGATGATTGAATTATTCAAACTAGACGGAACTAGAAAAATTGTATTTACGATAAATCTCTAAAATTTTTTAGCATAATTGTAATCCTTATTAAAAAACTCAAAACGAATATTTTTCCTCAAGATAAAATATGCGAACACATTTTGTCAGTTTCCAGTTGAAATAAATTTAATGGAGAAGAGGTAATCTTGTTAAGTATGACGTCATCAAGGTTTTTCCTGAGTGGTGATAAAATAAAGTGTTTGTGAGTCAACGGGTGGGAAAATAGCAATTTAAGATAAACGGAAATGTAATCTTAGATTTTTTGTTACCTTGTAACAGCGGAAATAATGTTTGTTTTAACTCTCATTTATTAGGGGTTTTGATCATTATTGAACATGTCTGCGTCATTAGATAAACAATACATCAAAAAGCACACATTTCATATCCAAACTCACTTAATGGAAAGTAACGATGATGCCAACGAAGTAGCATGCATACCTAAATTACACCTATTCACTCTCGCCTTGAAAAGGCCCAAGTTATAGCGTTCAGAATTCCAGTGAAACACTTTCGTGCGAATCCTTGAAATATCCACAACACAGGGGTCGGAACTCCTTTATCTTCATTCGTCTAAAGGTGGAATTAGATCGTGCAATTCCATCGCACACGCTCCGTAATTATATCCTGTAGAATGTCGATAAGCAGCCTACTTAACGCCTTTTGATATGATTAATTTCTATAATCGAGTATATAACCAGACTTAGAGACGAAATATCATTTAATTCGTTTGAAAACTATTCTGCCAAATAATTACGGTGACAACTGCGCTCCAATTGACGGGTGTCGTCAATTGGTTCACTTCAAATCGACCAGTTTAACTTGAGCTTTGCTATAGTGGACGAAAATTGAAAAATTACATATTTAATATTTAATTACCGATGAAATGTGATACTGTTTATTTTGTAATTAGAAGTTTTTCTGTTTTTCGAAAACCACCGAATGGAACAGCCGCCCATTGTTAGAGATATACGGAGATGTACACACAGATCAGTTGTTGGTGCTGTACTATTTCAGTTTTCTAATTTGTGATCACTGCGAAGTTTTTCCTGTCCGTGATGTAATTAATAACTTTCCATCAATAGATTGTCCGGCAGAAATCGCTTATTTTTTTAATAATGTCTTTAATCATTTGTAATAAATATAACAGATGTAGTATTTGAAAATTTGTAAATAGAAAATTTCCCTGGGGTATCGTGCCCAGAAGGCTGGCAACATTTCACCTTTGAATCAAAAGAGCAAAACTTATTATTACTTGGCTGAAATAACTGCCAACCTGGTGGTCACCGGAGGCTTGTTAATTTTTAATTGTTTTGCATTTATTAAAACAAAGATCAAACACTAAGAAAAATTCCTGGATTCAAACCAGCGCCTTCAAGCATACCGAAGCTTTCCCAACTAAGTCACGGAAGAACCAGGGGTCTTACCATGAACTCTTATTACGATTCAGTTTAGGACTTAAGAGGAATCATTGTGAGACAGCACTATATAGTGTATATATAACCATCTCGCTTTTTTGTCATTACTAACCTGTACTGAACTGTAATAAGAGTTCATGGTAAGGCCCCAGAACTTACGAATTTTTCTGTGTACTTGTCGTTTGATGTAGCGCCATCTGTGAGAAATCTATTTCTTCACGCAACGGTTTTGTATTTGTTTCGATTTTGGTATGCAAAGAACAATTGTATTGTTTTATACTGTATGATGAAATCTGTGTTGTAATTAGATTAAGTGTTATCTGATTTTTTATTTGCGTGAGAGTTGAATCTTCACTTATTTGCAATTTAAATAACAATAACGTGTCAGACAACAACACTAATTACCTAATCTCTTCTTATTTTATTACTTGACTGAAGTTGTAAGTGGAAAAAATGTTTTATCTGTATGACTATAAAATCAAACTTACCATTGGTAGAATAGTGACGAAAGAATTTCCTTCTTCATTAAAAAGTAGAGGAATGTTGTCGATCCAGCCGTTAGGCTCAGAGTATTCGTAAATCTGCAATTTGCAAAAGACAGAGCACTTAAGTATGTTTAATAAAAACTTGTAATACATTAAGCCGGGTCTACATTAGAGGCAGTCTCGAGTAAAGCAGCTGCGTCGAGCCGAGGCATAACGAATGGAAACGCTGCCACAGGTCGAGACAAGCTGTGACGTGAACCAAATGAGGCAACCTCGTGGCGAGCCATTTAGTTAGGGAGCCTTAAATTAATTAACAGATTCAAGCGTTACTTTGCTGAAGTCCATGTTAATAAAAGTGGAAGTGGATAGTTTGCTACTCCGCGAATCCAGTGAAGGCGAATTTGTGTAAAAATATACTCTAATATTAAGGTATATTGTTGGTGGTGGTGTCTGTACATAGCACTAAATGACACATGTCGAATCATTACGGGGTGTCTGAAACCAAACCCTGTTGGTATGCTGTATCCGCTGACCAGTGTTGCCCCTCCGGACGTCCGCAGAGACGTGGCTAGCTCCTTGGAGCGCTTAAAAAAAGAGACTGACCCGCGACACCTCTTACACTATCACGTGCCAGTAATCCAGGGGCTAAAGAGTCGACATAGCTTCATTAAAGAAGTATTCCCTCTGGACGGGAAAACTAATCAAGTCCGTATAAATCTCTGGAAGGAGAGATACCCCACGGCATCACTCATTCCGCTGTCGGAGCACCTTCCTCCTGGGCATAATCCACCTTGGCACACTTGGAAGTCTTTAAATAGACTGCGGATCCAAGTCGGCCGAAGCAAGGGAGCACGCACAGGTGGGGTTATAGCTCTGAGAGCGCATGTATTTGTGGTGTCTCTCTCCAAACTATGGCACATCTTTTGTCTTGTCCTACGTGCCCTTGCACCTGCACAGGCGAGGATCTGTACAACGCCACAGATAATGAATTCTGTGTCAATCGCTAGCAAAAAAGGGCTAGCGGAGCTAAGTATTTGTGCATACAAAAAAGCGAGAGATATGTGCGAGGGTTGCGAGCGAGGAATGTGTGAGAGGCACCACCGCTCACCCCACCACACCGCACCCGACACGCGCACACCTGAAAAGAGTCCGCTACTCATCCTCGCGCCGCACACCATTTCACGGCTTCGCTACGCTTTCTGGCACACGCCTCGCTGCCTCACACATCTCTGGTGCAACCGCAGCCTTAACCCACCGGATTCGTGGGGTAGCAAATTAATTTTATTCCTTTCCTATCGGCCTTCAAATAAGTCGCTTGTAAAAGCGCTGTAGTGGCGTGATTATCGCGCAGAATCTGTGCGTCTGTAGCGCTTCAGTAATTTTTAGGTCGCTAAATTGTGACTGTATCTTCATACATAGACCAAGATATGGAATAACAATATCTCGCACTCTCACGTCGCGCCCTGTCGTGCTACTGCAGTGGGACAATAACAAATGAAAAAATGCAAATAAATTTGACCGCAAAATTGGCGTGACTGCAGCGCCACAGTGGAGACAGTTGAATGTGCTCGATGCTCCTTGGGCGTGGCAAGTGAGAAACTGTCTCGCCCTGAGGCAGCCTGACTCATTTATAATGTAGGTTACTCTAATGTAGATGCATGAATTTACCGTAGCGGGAGGCATGCTCAGGACGAGGCATCTTATCTCGAGTCTGCGCAAGTGGGGCCTTGGCTTTATAGTGTGCAACATATATCTATATATAGAATTATTATTTTTGGCTATATTTAGTACTACATTTCGTTGAGAATAAAACTACAAGCTTTCCATTGGTTATAGTAATCACGAAACAACATACGCCCGGTAATATGATTCTTACTGAAGAAGAAATTGTTTTAAAGCTGCTATTTTAATACCATACCATAATATGTTTCATAGCAACATCATACTACATCGTAGTTGTAGTAAGTTAATTATTTTGTAGCTAATAGAAAATAAGTAAAATAAATACTTGAAACAACTTTTAAAGAATTGAAACAACTTACCGTAGAACACACTGAGTTCCCAAGGGTACAAAGGTTTACGGACAACGAAGTTTGAACTCGGTTGGTCCACATGACAGCGATCTGGTCATTCGTCACGAAGCGAACGGTTCTCAGTATCGGACTGAAAAAAAAAGAACAAGTTTACCATCCAAGCATACCATTGTCTATAACTGTTTCTAATAATAGATCCAAGACCCTGTCCTAGCTTATCTGAAAACATTACGTTTTTTACATTATTATCATGACCCGGCAGAGTATATTTCATAAATTACAAAAAAAGTGTTCCTTGTGAAAGTGTTCGTCCAGTGTTGTACTGCCCCTGTTTCTACCACCAAGCAATAATATAAGTATCTCGCCCTTAGATGGTAGCGATTTAAAGCTCTGAGTGGCACTGCAACTTAAATAATAATATCCAGCGTGTCGCTTATAACCAGGCGCACGATTTGTTCGTCTCATCACTTATTTCATAAAAAATAAAACACTTACATAGAGTGATTAATACCTCTCTCAGAAATCCTGGAATTAGTATGTAATATTACCCAACAGTATTTATAATACACTCCCGGACACTTAATTCGAGCCACCTCGCATCAGTATTAAATGCCCTAAGCTTAAACAACGATCGATTGATCAAGAACTATCCTACGCAATTTTGAAACTAGTAGATTAAAAGTCTTTTCCATAAGTCCTTGTTGGAAATTTGGACTTGCAAAACCGAGGGAAACCTTTTTCTTCGATGATAACACTATTTTTGAATTCTAGCCCTTTAAGGCAAAAATGCGAGGTGGCTCGAATTATGTGTCCGGAAGTATATAATTGCAAAAGCTGTTGGGTATGCCGAGAAGGTATAGTGCGTCAGGCATATTCGCAGAGGCGAACACAGACGGCTACTATCCACTCTATAGTAATAACTCGCACACACTCATTAGCCCGGCACTAGGGAAACCCTGTATCGCGGGTGCCATGGACTCACACATAGACATGCACAAATTACACCCAAACTTACGAGAGAAATGGATGTAGGCCATACAAATATTTCTGCCGGCCCGGGAATCGAACCCGAGACCTCTGCGTAGCAGCCCAGCATGGTAACCGTTCGGCAACGAAGGCAGTTTCGTGCTTTATAAATATGTCCTGCTTAAACCGAACTCTATCAATATAACACTATTATAAACTCTACAATATAACTCTACTAATATAACTAACATGTCAATCATTTGAGTGCCCCTGAAAATATATTGGTAAGTCCACGTAAGATAAATAAGAACTCAATTCCCAGATTACCCATTGTTATCTGAAGTACGTAGATATTGTCGTTCTATAGGCAAAGATGATTGTATTAAAATTTTCCCAAAAAGTATTTAAACACTCTAACTTACAAATAGAGGCGTGTACATATGATGCCATATTCTAAGTCCAAGCTTTGGAGTAATTACAATTAAATAGTATAATTGGGAAGCACTATTCTTCAATAAAACGTCACTACATTTTTTAAATTTATATGTATAAACCATTAAGAAATATTATGAATTGATCAGTTAAGTACTGTAACGATATTTAGTGCCTCTACCATGAGATTACAGGACTTTTGTCGCTAACGGACGCGTGTGAAACTTACTTCACACTTTTGTATGAAAAATTGTACAGCGCCGGAAGCGAATGAAGCTAGCTAACGTACGTAGTTGCATGCATAGCTAAGATAAGAAAATACGTAGTAAGTAATGACTAATACTTGCGGGGGTGAAGGGCAGCAGAAGGGCGATATATTTTACATAAGTAGCGAGATTTAGGTTAATTACCGTAGCCATTGTTTTTTCTCGCTTATTATATCCAATATCATTGAAATATGGATAACTTTACGCTAAACTATCAAATATGTCTAAATAGCTTTAGAATAGAGTTATTATATATAGATATAATATATAGAATATTTTATGGCAACGGTAACAGAAAGTTCAAACTTTTTTAAGAAAACATAAAACCAAAAGTTATAAAAAACAACTAATCACAAATAAATAACTTTTAATTTTATTTTTCTCCACATTTTGTAATGTTTTACACCGATATAAAATATATTTTTTTGAACTTTTAAGATTTATCGGCAGAAATAATCAAAATGTAAATTACTACACTGTTATTGTAACAGCTGTGATTAATCATAAGAAAGGATTGGACTGATTATGAAAAAATTAAAAGTATTAAAAACCTACTTTATATTTATTTCAAAAAATCTTGAATGGCATTTGTATCAGTACAAATAACCCAAATGTAGCAAAAGTAAGTCAGAAATAGTCGATTTTTCTTAAAAATTGTTTGAACTTTCTAATTACCGTATCCATGGCTACGATAATTAGGCTGAGGACACCGAAATGGCCACGGTAATTAGTTAAGCTGAAAACACTGAATGTGAGAATGCGTGAAACACGTTTTCTAGAAAAACATAATTGAACTTTATCCGAATCTGAATCTTATATATAAACAGTCAAGGTAAACTTTTATGTTTATGTAATATATGGGGGTAAACGAGTAGACGAGTTCTACCTATGCATTATCCGCTTTTGAACGCCCTGTTTACCCGATTTTTTATATGGTATCAGACGACACTGGACAAACAAGTCGTGCACCAAGCAGTAAGCAATACATCATGTTAATCAATTGCGTTCAAGTCTAAAATGTATCTTAATTTTAATTCCAATCTTAATTATAATTATATTTCTTTACACCCTTACAGAGCATAAAAAAAAATGTTTCAGACTTTTTAAACATCGGCTAAGAATCTTGGATTTGACACCGAAATTCCCAAGCATTGATCGATGTGATCTCATTCTCGTAGTGATAATATGATAAACATGATTGTTTATATGTGTCTTATAATCTGATAAGAACTAAGTTCATATATAAGCGGCAATAGAATTTGCTTTTTTAATAACCTTTAGGACACTCGACAGTTTGTTATAAATTTTACAATGGCGTTTAAGGTAAAAATACATTTAAATACATTTCTCAAACTAAAATTTACTTTTTTTTAGGTTCAATTAATATATATTTTTTTTATTTCAGATTGCCTGCTTATTCCTGCTCACTGTAGCAAGCGCGTTAACTGACGGTATGTATTTAAACAATTTCTTTACATATTTAATAGGTCTGGTTGAAAAACGGACACAAACATTCATTACGTCACGCGACAACGTCGCTTACAAATAAATGAAAGTAATAGTAAAGTGAAAGTAAAAGTATTGCCATGTACGTGTAGCAACGCAAGTAAGGGAGTCACAACGGCGTCGGGGCATCGCCGATCGGCCATATCGTCTGAGATCGGGGTATGAAATACGGACTTCGCATCTTCGCACACGTCCGGCACTAAATAAGGCTATTCGGATTTAGATACTGCCGTGTTCAGGTGTAAATGAGGTCATTCTTCCATCCACATCCGCATCATAAATCTGTTTGGTAATTCTTCTAACATCCATATGCTCTACATTTCCAAACCACTTTAACATTCCTTTCTCTATTCTAGTCACTATATCCTCTTTCAAGCCATATCTTTCACATATTATTGTATTCTTCACTCTATCACTTAGTTTTATCGCGTAACATACACACAAAAAATACAGTCGAATCGAAAACCCCTTTATTTTAAGTCGGTGAAAAAGAAACAATTAGGTGTAATTTCATAATGTATACTTTTTCAGATCTCGGTCAACCAGGATACGATCTTCAACAACGAAAAAATGAGCCGGTAAAAACGGATCAAAATGAACCAATAATTTTAAATGAACAGGAAGACGAACCTAAACTTCCAGGATTTGGATTAGAATACTTGACTGACGGTAGTGAAGAATATTTAAGTGAAAACTCAGAAAAAAACGAACCTGAACCTAAAATTGGATCACTGAGTTCTGAATACCGTGGTCCCGGATATCATGGTTCAGAGCAAAACGGCCCTTGGCAACTTGGTCCTGGACAAATTGACCCTTTCTTCAACAACCATGGACAAAGTGCGCATAAACCTTTATTGCCCGGAAACGGATTTGGATATAGTGGTGGACATTTTGGAGGTACCTGGGGGGTAAACAATCACGGACAATATCGTCCTGGACAAACGGGCCCTTTCTTCAACAACCACGGCCCAAGTGCAAATAAGCCTACATTCGGAAATGGATT